TCCTGCCAAATACATCAATTCATAATGGAAGGAGGATTTGAGCCTAGGTATCTCTGACCCCCCAATTCCTCTACTCTTTACTATACCAGAGCACCTTAGGCAGCCTTCATTTTCCTCCCTTCCATTCTCTTTCTTTCTCCTCTCTTGTCTCTCTCTATCCATGTTCAGACTCTAAGAGTAGGCAGCAGGAGAAAGAAAGGGTAAGGTGCAGTGAGATTCACACCAGGGTTAAGTGCCACGCTCTCTGAGTAACTAACATCTTAGGGAAACAAGGCCAGCAGTAGGATACATTTTAAGTGACTATTTTTGCACCTTTCTTTCTTGTTTTCTTTTCACCAGATATTGTGTTCAAGTCCCAATTTCCCCTGTTACTAGCCGTATACTTGGCAAGGTGGTTACCCACTCAGGCTCCATGTGCTCATCTGTAAAATGAGAGTAATGATTCCTACATCTATGAGTTGTTGTGAAGTTTGAATGAGATAATAATGTATGCAAAAATACTTTGAAAACCATAGGGCACACTCCGGCAATGTGATGAATTATTCATTCTTCTACTCAGGGTCAAAAAGGAAGTATGGTCATGCTGACTGTGGCTCTGACAACCGCCAGGTGCTTTCAAGGCTTTTCAGCGAAGTGTGGGTTTCAAACAAATGGGAAATCTAATAGACCGCTCTCCGCAGTTGGCTGCATTTCCAGCCAGCACAGATATGGTTATAATTAGAGTTTCAGGAGTCTGTTTCACATCAAAAGGATTCCTTGGCCCAGTCTGCAGTCTACCTGAGGTATGTGGCCAGATGTGATCCCTGTGGCAGGTGTTTTTATTCAGGCCCATTTGCTTCTTTTCCTGTGCTACCAGGAGTGTCTGTTTCTATTACACTCATTATTTTCAGATACCAGGTGAGAAGAGATTTTCCATATGTGAGATTTGAGATGGAGGCCACTGAGCAAAATGCATAGCTCTCGCCCCCTTTCCTCACTTCCTAAATGAACAGCAACTCAGACAAATTCACTTTAGCAGAGCCAGGCCTTTTATTAGCAGCCAGAGAATAGTCTGTAATGGGAGGAATTACTCTGCCCATGCATCTCTCCCAGGAAAAACATTCGTTAGCCTGTCAAGGAAGTGAAACCTCTTATTAGAAACTGTAGAAAAGACAATCTGTCTATTTTTGCTGCTAAAGGATTCAGAACACATCTCACTGCACACCTGAAATTAACAATTCAACTGGAAGGGGAGTTGAGCCCACTGGTGACAGGCGGAGATGGCCGAGTGAGCGGGACTCCAGATCAGAGCTGAGCCCAACCTGGGTGTTCACAATTTCAAACCCGATTATGGCCTTTTCTGCGGGGTCCTTTTGATCATCATAACTCTTGACTGGGCAAAGTGATGATAGTGGTAAGACTCACTCAGTGAACAGAGACAGGTAATTTTTTTTTTTGCTTCTTTTTAACTATCTAATGATTTTCCAATTTTAGCCAGCAATGCTGAGAAGCCACAAGTGTCATAAGAGTCCTTGATGGGACTTCTCTGAGTAAAACTCAGAAGAAAAGCCCATATGTGTAAGTACAAAGAAGCAGGTTGGCTTCAAGCTGCCCCATTTGCTTTGAATTTATCCTGCTAAGCCATGGATTAAAACAAATGTGAATGCTGGAGTTGAATTTTCAGGGAAAGGAAACAGTATCCAAAATTTATTATCACTGGGGTCACTAGGAGTGGAGACACCTCAAGGTCAAACTCCAAGGAAAGGTCACCTTATACCCTACCATCACCCACTATTCCTGCTGCACCAAACTATTGTTGGCTTTAAATTCTTGCATCTCATCAACTCTGTTATGCCATTGATTGCAAGAATATTATTTTAGGTGTCAATGAGAAAGAAAGGTTGCTGCTAATTAAGTGAGAAACATATGGAGAAATATACCAGGCGGTTTCAGGTCTCTCTTGGGAGTGCTGCTTCTCCCACCTGCTCTGCTATGGTCTCTCCAAAATTACATCTCCCCTAGCTTTTGACTGGTATTTACCATCCAGTTCATGAGATTTTTGAAAGTTATTTTGAGCTTCCTATGAACAAAGATCATATTCTATTCATTTAGAGGCCCATCAAAGCCATGGGAAGACACAATACTCCAGCATTTCTGCCCCTTCTGCCATGTGAGGACGCAGCAGGAAGTGTCATCCATGAAGAAAAGAGCAAGCTCTCACCAGACACAAAATCGGCTGGTGCCTTGATTTTAAATGCCCCAGCCTCCAAAACTGTGAGAAATAAATTTCTATTATTAGAAATTACCCAGTCCCAGGTATTTTGTTATAGCTGCATGAAGAGATTAACATGCAACCCAGTCCACTATATTCTTTATTCATTGTGAACAGCAGCACATCATGACCATTTGCTACAGAAGCTGCTATTTAGCACTAGAGAGGGCACTGGTTATTTCCGCCAGAATGAGGAGTGGAGACATGTCCACAAGTCGAGACTGGAACACAGAGAGGAAGCAACTTGGGTGAGATAACTGAGCTGGGAAGCAACTAAACGTGCATCCGTCAGCCCTTTGCTAGGGAGACCCCCAGCAAATGACAACTGCAATGCAACTCACATGGCTCTACAGGCAGCTTGCTCAAGCCCGTAAACCTCCCTTCTCTTGAGGCCAGGAGTTTGAAACCAGGCTGGCCAAGATAACAAGAGCTCAACTCATATATATCTATATACACATACATATGTGTGTGTATGTATGTGTGTGTGTGTGTGTGTGTGTGTGTGTGTGTGTGTGTGTGTGTGTAACTTAAAGTCTCTTGCCTTTATTCTCCAACCCAGGCACTGTGCCAGCAAGTCAAAGTTAGAGATGGTAAGACCCCATTCCATTTGTAAGGGGCTGGTCCAGCATTTGAACTCAAGTGTACGTCAAAGCATCTCTCTTTTCAACTACGCCATACTGCATCCTCTTATCACATAGCAATATAATTACTTATCATTGTAATTGTTGTAGTTGTTAAAATTTATTTAACTCCACCTATCATAATAGGTGATTATCAGAGACATAAACCAGGGTGTAAAAATACATTATTAATGTCAAAAATATTTATTCGTATTAAATGTATTGTATATATTTATAATAAAAGTAAAATCGGTTATCTCTGGATGGTTGAGTGATGATCATTATCTTTTCTTATACTGTTCTGTATTTTGTAAAATTAAAAAATGAGATTGTATTGTGTTTATATTTTTTGAAAAGTTATTTTTAAATAAAACAAATACATGTGAAAGTGCAAAACCATGAAGTGCTAATAAATGTCAGCTACTAAATTAATTGCAATGTAAGGAAATCCTCAAACGCCATGCATGAGGCTAGAAACACAGCCAGTCAACCTTGGTAGGTAACGGTGATCAGTACATCCTCAAGTAGGTACTCCCAGAGCCCAGGAAGACTGGTAATCCAGAGTTCACTGTGGCAGATGCGGTGAACCTTTCTCTTTGTCCAGAGAGAGGGGACAGAACATCGAGGCCGAAACACCGTTAGACATTTCAGTGTCTACAAAGTGGAAGTCTCTCATTTCTTCATTGGCAATCTCTCTTTCTCTCTCTCTCTCTCTCTTTTTTTTTTAATATATGGTGTCTCGCCCTGTCACCCAGGCTGAAGTGCAATGGCAAGATCTCAGCTCACTGCAACCTCTGCCTGCCAGGTTCTAACAATTCTCCTGCCTCAGCCTCCTGAGTAGCTGGGATTACAGGTGCACACCACCATGCCTGGCTAATTTTTTGTATCTTTAGTAGAGACGGGGTTTCACCATGTTTGCCAGGCTGGTCTCAAACTCCTGACCTCGTGATCAACCCACCTTGGCCTCCAAAAGTACTGGGATTACGGGCGTGAGCCACCACGCCTGGCAGCAGTCTCCATTTTATAGAAGATTTTACTTTTTTATGTATAGAAATGCCCAGTTATATTGTCCATATCCGTTATCAACCACCTTCCATCAAGGACTCCTGCTGGGAATTTGGTTTAAATGACACCACGCTTGTAAATGTGGGTCTCTAGCTCCTTGCACAGATGGACAATCATGAGCCTACTGCTGGCCCAGGCCCCCTGGAACATCTTCTGTAGGGCATAAACCTTCTTTTGCCTCCTTAGAAATGAACCTATGCTAATAAGTGTCCATTCTTCTTACTGCAACGAGATATAACACTTTCTTCTCATATTTACTGATCTCTGACCAATCACTTGTTTATAAGAAAAAAAAAAAAGAGTCCCTTTCCTTTGCAAAAAGGAGGCTTGGCTTTCCCTTGCAGCTCAGTAAGTTAAGGCAGGTGATAGAATTTTCTAGGAATGTCAGCCTAGCAGCTCTAGGCATTCACACTTATCACATATCAAAGTAGCAGAAGGAATATATTTCTAACTTAATACAAGTGTCCACCTAGACACTTATCTTGTTCGTGCATGCTTTCAAGTAGTATGATTTATAGCTGTGAGGTAAAATAATATTTTACAGTGTGTTATGATTTCAAAGACACACTCAGTCTCACTTTTATCTCATTTAACCATAGCAGCAGCCCTATGGGAAACATATTACCTGCTTTGCAAGGAGGAAACCAGGTTCAGAAAGGCCACATGGTGAGTTCAAGATTACTGAGTCAGGACTCAATCCCAGATCTTTTGACTTCAAATGCCAGGCAATTTCCATTGCTTTCCCAAAATTAAAAATTTGATCCTGGATTTCTCCTCCTACCAAGTGAATGTGTAGGATAGGAAAGATACTATTCTGCAGCCATCTACTGCAGAAAAGAGAGAAATCGTGGAGGAGAGAAGCTAACATCTATCGAGCTTCTACTCTATGTGGGCTGTTTTCCTTGCACTATCTCATTTAAACATCATCACTTTTTTTTCTCTGTTCTGGAAAGGCTGGCCTTCTTTAGGACACACACACACACACACACACACCCCTTTCTCCATGTCCCTCCAGTTCAGTTTTCTGTGTGACACTGGTGACATAATCTTCTCCTCCCTGGCAGGGTGTGTGCTGGTGGTGTCTGTGATTGAACAGCTCGCTCAAGTTCACAACTCGACGGTCCAGGGCGCGATGGAGAGACTGTGCAGCTACCTGCCTGGTAAATATGGGATGGGTCATCCTGCTGGGGGTCTGCTTGTCCTTTCACCCATGAGTCATCATGACTGGCTTCACTTCCTGCCCATGCTTACAGAGAAGAATCTGATTGTGCTGTTTCTGCGGGTTGATATTCTTATGGAGCTCATAGAAATTAAAACAAACAAAAAAATGCTCTAGGCAACTTCTCCCTGACATTCATTTTCCATCATGGCATAATAAAAGTGCTGTAGACACTTAGGGAATAAAATGTTGAATGGCCAATTGTTGTTTGATGTGTCACATTAATAATACCTTGCTTATCTACTGATCATTGCCTTAAGTACTAAAGTCAAATTAAAGAATAATTTTCAATAATTTTATGTTGACTTGACCAATATTCACATACCAAGACGCACACTTAGCCCTACCAACACAGAGCTTTGCGCTGGGAGGACAACTGATTTCAAAATTTCAAATGGGAAAATAACCTGGAACATTTCATTGATTTAAACTGGATCTCAATAAAGTCCCTTATACATCCACCAAAAGAAGAAAGCGATTGGTGGTTCAAGCTAGTTGCATATTTGTTTTTCAATATTAGTAGAAAGAAAATATTAATTATATTTTCATTATAGAATACTGTTACTTGAACAGTCATAATGAATAAACTTTGTTGAGAGTCAAATTTTTATTCACTTAATGGGAACTGATTCATCTATGGCACCTACATTATTTTTTCTGTTAAGTAAGGTAGTTGGATTAATGGTAATTGTATCTTTGACACAGTACGCTGTGCCAAGAGCATCCAAGTCTTTTCAGAGAATTTATTCAACTTAGTCTTAATATGCATTCACAGGCTAAAATGTTTAGAATTCAAAAACAAGGACTGGGAGAAGACAATACAAAACTACATGTGTGTAGAATGTCCAAATGAACCATTAAGATGTTAACATATTCACATCATAATTACATCTTCCTTTTGTGAAATTAAAACATGGCGGCTAAACTTGGAAACTTCAGCTTTCCCTTCTTCCAATTCCATTCTCCCCTGCCCCACCTCCCTAGAAGGAACCCTTCACATGAACTTAATGAGTATCATTCTTGTCAGATTTTATATTTACACATTCACTTGTCTGAATTAATGAACAATGTATATTGTTCTGCCAGTAATCTTTTTTTGTTTTTCTTTGTAAAAACAAGACAAATGTAGAAAACCATGCAAACCAAGTGTATAGCTTCGTCAGTTGCTGAAAGATGAACGCCCTTGTAAACATAGCCCGGGTCAAGAAAGAACAGATCAATGGCCTCCCCTGGAGTCCCATGCAGCTGCCCCATCCCATCCTCCCCCTGCAAAAAACTTAATGTGCTGACTTTTATGGTAATTATTTTATTGCATTTCTTTATAGCTTTATCACTCAGTGGACACCCCATGATACCATAACATTGCCCAGTATTTAAAATTTTGATGTGTCTTTTGAGCGATTTTAATCTGTAAGTTTCCTTTCTTTTTCTTATCATTTACCTGTGGAATTTGACCTGTAGAGTTTCCCACAGTCTGAATGGTATTGATTGCTTTCCTGTAGTATAATTGAGTATGTTTCTCTGTGCTCTGTATTTCCTGAAACTTGGCAATGACCAGAGGCTTGATCCTATTGCAGTCTGATTCCTTTGACAAGCCTATAAATGATATTTTCTTTCATCAGGAGGCAGGCATAGGTGGTTTTTCTTTTATCTTTCTTTTCTTTCTTCTTTTTGTTTGTTTGTTTGTTTGTTTGTTTGTTTTTAGAGACAGGGTCTCAATGTGTCACCCAGGCTGGAGTGCTCACTGTAGCCTCGACCTCCTGGGCTCATGAGATCCTCCTGCTTCATCTTCCCAAGTATCTGGGACTACAGAGCATCACACCAGATAATTTTAAATTTTTTTGTAGAGACAGGGCCTCTTTGTGTTGCCCAGGCTGGTCTCTAACTCCTAGTCTCAAGTGATGTGTCTACCTTGGCCTCCCAAAGCGCCAAGATTACAGGTGTGTTGTGGGCCACTGTGCCAAGACCCATTTTGTGATGGTAGCAGCTGTCGATGTTGAATGATGAGATCTATTAATTTATTGGGGTTTAAAATCTTTGATATCCTAATCTATTATTTCTTATTTATTAATTGACATATATTGGATGCTTTCTCACATTATATTTTAGAAACATTTTTCCCACAGTACCTAGTGCAAAGGCATCTAGGAAAGGCAGGATAAATGCTTGACTCTTTTCCTTTTATCAGTTTTCAAGGTAATGCGTTGGTTTTCTGTTATCATCTCACAGCAAGCAATTAGTTTTTCCTTAAAATGTCACGATAAACTTACGAACTTAAGCATACCTGATGGGTTTCAGTCAAGTGTAATTATTATCCTTTTGAAGCTCAGACAATCCCATTGAGCTTTGACCAGTGGCACCCACTGCGAGCTAACTCAAGTCCTTTTGACATGAGCCTCAGTAACCTTCGATAGTTTCCTCACTAACTGATATCACAAGATGTTCCAGCCCTGTCTTGTACATTTCAAGCCACAGGCTTGAAATCAGTCATCTTTTCTCAGAAGTCCTCATTTCTTTTAGTGAGAACTAATGTTTCAAGACCACAAACCAGATGCTTAGGAATGTTCATTGTTACTGAGTTGGCCATTTCTTCTAGGCCTCTTCAGTGGACAGAAATAGGAAACCCATGTGTATACATTTATAAACGTCAGCTTTAAGATAAAACAACCAAGTTCATACTGACACTTCAAATGCAGAACCACAAAATTTTTTCTTAATGTCTTCTGTGTTGTATCTATATCTTCTTCTTTCCACACAAAGTCCCAATTCTCAAGGACAAAGAGACTGATAGAATGAAAATCTCCAATCATTACTCATTTGCCTATCCTTCCTTGCACATAAAATAGCCTCAGACTATCGATTCTAATGCTACCATCATTAATACATTTTCTAATTCTTATGAGCAGTTAAAATTGGTTTTTTGCCTACGCCTTTCCCACCACCCTTTTTAATCATTGTTCTACATTATCTGAGCACATAGCCACTACATATAATATCCATTCCCTTTTCACCCTCATTTAGTCTTAGCTGCATCAGCAACTATATGATTAATGTTCACCACCAGCCCTTATATGAATGTCTGTCTAGTTGAGTTGTTGTCTAAAGTTCGTTCCTCCAGAAGGGCTCGTAGGAACAAATATTCCTTGAATTCTTGCATGTTGATAGCAGGCTGTCTGAGCCCTTTATACTTGAAAGTCAATGCTTTTCTGTATATAAAACTCCTTGGCACAGAATGTCTTTCCCTGAGCATCTTAAATATAATTTTCAAAAGCCTATTAATAATATGATTTACCTTGTCCTTACAAGTTATTTGTTGTTTATACTTTGAAGTTCAGGGGGTTTTTTTTTCTATAAAATTTAGTCATCTAACTGGAAGATAGTTTCGTGCCAGTTGTTGTGTATTGATGTTCTCAGGCATGCAGTGTGCCCTCTCAATGTTATTTCAAATACATATTTTCTAATTTTAGGGAAGGTTTTAGTGTTTTTTCAGTTTTCTTGATTTTGTTTTTTTCCTCTGGGATTTCTATTATCCACATTTTGACTCTTCTTTGACTGTCTTCGCTGTCTTACCTATCCCTTGAATTTATTTTAATCTCTTTGTTTATTTTTTATCTTAAAATTGTTCCTCCTTTCTACCTTCTGTTTCACTGAAGACCTCTTCTACTGTTTTCACTTGTTCTTGTGTTCATTCTAGTTTAGACTTCACTTCTTTATTCTTTGTTTCATGTTTTATTTTTTCCTGAGTTCTTTTATTCCATATTTGAGTTTTTCTAATTCTTATTCTTGCTATTTTTTCATGTCTTATATCATTTTATTAGCGCTTCTTAGCTCATTTTAAAATAATATGTTTAGAAATAATATGTTATGTTTTAATCCTTTTTTGGCATGACTTTCTGGCATGCTTTTACTATCTGTAGGGATGTTATTCTGTTCCTTAATCTTTTTCTTCTTATAATAACTTTGTATGGGAGTTGACCTAGATACATTTCTGTTGCTCATTTTTATGTGAAATTAGTTTTCAAAAACTCTTAGAAAGAGAGGTGGTTCAGCGTAGTTTTACTAAATGTACAGAGCTCCTTCTTCTGTTGTTTTGGGGTAGTGTAAAAAAAAAATTGTGGTAGCTTGCTTTCTGAGATTTTTCTGACTGTTTCCCTATTCACTTTCATCTGAACTTTCTCTCTACCCGGCAGTTTCTCCTCAGTGTGGGCCTTGCCCTGGAAGGGAGCTCCGGTGGGTCCCTTGTGGGTGCCAGGCAACTCTAGCACCTAATTCCTTCTAGTCTTGAGCTCCTTGCGTTCATCAGCTATTGAGTGGGCAAAATCCTTCCTAGTCCAGCGGCTGTTCTCTAATTGGCCTGTCATGCTTGGTAGTCAACATCTGTCAGCTATTGGGAGTCTCCTGTTCTCAGTTTTATCTACCATCCATTGCTTCTCTCTACTTTCTCCCCTACAGAAGTTGGTAACCCATAGGTCTTGTGGTTGTGAAGTGGTTTATTCCCACCTAATTGCACGTTAGAGTTCATTGATATACCTAGTTTTGTTGTGACTGCTTTCTGTGGGTTTTGGGTTTTGCTATTCACGTACTCCTTTATTTTATTTATTTATTTATTTTTTGGAGACAGAGTCTCACTCTGTCACCAGGCTGCAGTGCAGTGGTGCAACCTCGGCTCACTGCAACCTCTGCCTTTTGGGTTCAAGCAATTCTCCTGCCTCAGCCTCCCGAGTAGCTGAGATTACAGGCACCTGCCACAAGGCCTGACTAACTTTTTTATTTTTAGTAGAGACAGGGTTTCACCATGTTGGTCAGGCTGGTCTTGAACTGCTGACTTCTGGTGATCCGCCTGCCTCGGCCTCCCAAAGTGCTGGGGATTACAGGTGTGAGCTACCTCACCTGGCCACTCCTTTTCTTTTTTTTTTTTTTTGGTAGAGAATCAAAGAGATTCCAGAATTCTGCTGTCTCCACCATCATCTTTCCATGCTCCTCTCCTGTGAAAATTTAATTTGACGTCAACGGTCTACTGTATGCATTGCTCAGCAAGTTTTGTTTTTCACACATGATTTTAAGATCTATACGTGTTAAGGCATATAGACCTAGGGCAAGCCTCTTAATTATACTTCTTTACCATATAAGTTCTATATTTTATTTATTTATTCCTCTATTGAACATTCACAATCTGTTACAAGCTTTACTTTGCATTTTTACATCTCTGAGTTAGAGAAGTAGAAGAAAAATATTATTACCATGTTACAAAAGGAAAACAGTGAAGAACAGTCACTGTTATCATTAAGCCTTGTTTTAACTGGTTGCCTTTCTGTGTGATAGGCAACATTGGCAGATATAACCGTTTGTACCTTGAGTTAGATGTTCTCTTTTTAGGCAAAGTTGCATTGTCCAGAGGTGAAAGACCAACTAAAAATCCTATTTCCTAGATTATTCTCTCTTCTTAAGATACTAGCAAAATATAAAACAACCCAAAACAAGATTGCTGGTGTTTGAGATAACCATCTTAGCTTCTTCTGACTTTGAACAGGAAATGGCAGAACCTGGTAAGATCAAGTGAGAGGCTGAAATCAGATTCTGGTGAAGTGGAAACTGGTATTTCACCAAGGGAAACAAGATAGATATTTTGGTTTTCAGTGATGGGTTGCCTTTTCAACTGGAGCAATTTTAAAGGATTATTAATTAATGCTTTACCTCCAGCTGAAAACACAACACTTAGTTCAGGTTAAAGGACACCATGGGCAGTATTCTTCCCATTTTATGGATGAGAAAAGCAGTACACAGAAACAGAATGGTTAAGTCAGTTGTATGGGGTGGCAAGACAGACATTCTCCTAGCTAAGGATTTATCCATGAAGACATAATAGGCCTGGCCCATAGCACCTACTGGGATGCAGTACTGCATTGCCTTCTGTCTGGTAGGCCAGGTGAAGGCAGGATAGAAGGGTATGAAATTAAGCACATAAATATACAACTATTTTAAAATTATTTTTCAGTTAAGTATTACTTTCACCTCCAAAGCTAAAAGAGTACAAAAAACAAAGCTTTAGCAGGGAAATCACGTAAGCACCATTCTTGGGGATAATCTCTTAGTAAATCACGTTGCCTTTCCCTGTGCCCTATAAGACAGTTTTTTTCTAATTGTGCAAAGCATTTCCGACCTTCAGTTTCATCCACTGCTTTTGCCTCTGGCTCTCATTAGGAAACACCTTGGAAGAATCTCAGAATTGTTAATAGAAAAATGATTAATGGAATCAGTCTCACTAGGCAGGGGTCAACAGAATCGTATGCCCTGAGAGTCTTGCTATAACTTTACTTTCTTGGGTCACCTATGCAGAAATCTTATCTCTGTGGAATGTAATTTTTAAAAACTCATGTAGTCTTAAAAGGAAGAGGGCACTTCAAGTCTACTCTGTAGGTTCTGAAAGTCTGCATGCATCCTGGAATATATACTTATAAAATTGTGTGGTCACTTGGTCTCACCGTGTTTTAAGTTTCTCGTCAATAGCTAATGTATAACAATACCTGCTATACTTGAGGTAGATAGGGCATCAAACAAAATGTCTTAAGCACACATAAATGTAGAGCACAAGTAACAAGGTCTTTTGGAGTAAAATATTTTAATCTCAGCTGAACCACTTGCTATGTTTGTGATCTTAAGCTCTCTAAGTTTCAATGTTCTTGTCTAAAGAATGAGGATTAAAAAAAACTACTCCCTCAAAAGATTCTTTTGAGAAAGGAAGTGATGGTAAACATGAAGGTAAATTGGAATGTCCTACAAATTGGACATGTCCTACATTTTATTGGAATGTCCTACATTTTATTTACACATACATCTGTATACACCCAATGTATGATAACTACTCAATTGATCTTATTTTAGCCCTTTTTTGCCTTTTGGAATAGCCACATTTTCTTTTTTCCTATGCTGTTCCAAGTCTCTTCGAATCTGTAGAAATTAAATGCTCTTGTATGTTCCTTGTCACAGGCAGAGTTTACCAGTGTAATTTTACTTTAGCTAGGTTACTGTCAATATGCAAATGCCAAATTTTTCTTCAGGTGTATCAGTAACAATCAGATTACCTTCTGATCATGCTGACTGGAGATAGCTGGCTCTTTCTGGAGATTTTGTGTATTTCTGCTTTGTACCCTTCCGTGTTGATCTCAGAATTTAGCTCTCAGAGATGTCCCACATCAGCCATTGCTCCAGGGGCCTCTCAAGCTAACAATCACAGAAGACACTGGCAGAAACTGACTGTTCAAATGGTCCTCCTGCTCAGAGGGGGTAACCTGCAGCCATTTCCTTTGACTTGGGCTAAACAGAATTCTGAGAAACACACACACACACACACACACACACAGCCTGCTTATCTTACCAGAAAGAAGATGAATTTTCTCTGCCTTTCAGCCAGTATTAGAAGTTTATCAAAGAACACCCTCATGTCCGTTTTTAAATTGCTCTGCTCTAGGCTAAGCTAGTTCTGCATTAACAGTACTTTAAACTTTCTTCCAAAGCACCTTCACCTAGTTTTGAATGTCTCTTACAAAAGTCTCCAAACTTAGCAGACACTATCGTGAAAAGGACCAAACCCTACACCCACATTTTTCAGATGAGGAAATAGAAGTCCAGAAAGGGGATGCAATTTCTCCAAGGTCAGGAGCCAGTGGGCTGGTGCTGAATGAAATTCAGGTCTCTCAGTATGCTATGACATCAGAGCTTCTTGACCCTCTCCACAGTAGCACCCCTAAAAAGGAGCCCAAGGGGGAAGGAATGTGTTTTTTTAAACACTTTTATTAAGCTACAATTCACATACCATACAGTTCACTCATTTAAAGTGTACAGTTTAGTGGCTTTCAGTATAGTCCTAGAGTTGTGTGTTCATCACCGCAATCAATTTTAGAACATTTTCATTACACCAGAAAGAAACTATATGCCTTTTAGCATCTCCCAGACACCCACTCTTTCCAGCCCTAAGCAACCACTAATCTACTTTCTGTGTTTATGGCTTTGCCTGTGTTTATGGCATTTCATATACATGGAATCATATAATATATGGTCTTGTGTGACTGATTTATTTCCCTTAGCATAGTGTTTTAGAGATTCACTATGTTGTAGCATGTATCATAACTTTATTGCTTTTCATGGCTGAATAATATTCCATCATATGGGTATACCACATTTGTTTATTTATTAGTTGATGGACACTTGAGCAGTTTACATTTCTTGGCTATGATGCAAAATGCTGCTATAAATATTTGTGTACACGTTTTTGTGTGGACATAATATGGTAGAATTATATATATATATATATATATATATACACACACACACACATATATATATATGGTAGAATTGCTGGATCACATAGTAACTCCGTGTTAAACAATTTATTTGGAGAGATGGCAGACTGGTTACAAATGGGCTCCACCAGTTTACATTCCCATCAGCATTACAAGCTTTCTAATTTCTCCCCATCCTCACCAACACATATCATTCTCTCTTTTTTTTTCTTCTCTCTTTTATAGAGAGAATATTAAGAATATAGCACATTATAGTGGATATGAAGTTGTATCTGATTTTGGCTTTGAATTGCATTTCCTTGATAGCTAATGATGTTGAGTAGCTTTTCATGTGCTTTTGGATATTTGCATATCTTCTTTGGAAAACCATCTATTCAGATCCTTTGCATATATTTTAATTGGACTATTTGTCTTTGTATTATTGAGTTGTAATGGTCCTTTATGTAGCCTAGTACTGTGATAGCTCATTTGATATATGACTGGCAAAAATTTTCTTTCATTCTATGGGTTGTCTTTTTACTTTCTTGATGGTGTTCTATGAAGCACAAAACTTTTTGTTTTAATGAAGTCAAGTTTGTCTGTATTTTTCTTTCTTTTTCTTATGCTTTTGATGTCATATCTAAGAAAACATTGCCTAACCCAAGGCCAATAAGATTTATGCCAATGTTTTGTTGTAGGAATTTTATGGTTTTTGCTCTTACATGTGGGTCTTTGATCCATTTTGAGTTAATTTTTGTAGATGGTGTGAAGTAGGTGTCCAAATTCATTCTTTTGCGTGTGGCTATCCCGTTGTCCCAGCATCATTTCTTAAATTCCTTCAATGAAATGGTCTTTGCACTCTTGCTGAAAATCATTTAACTAAACATTAGGGTTTGTTTCTGAACTATTTATTCTATTTCATTGATCTGTATGTCTATCTTTATGTTAATGCTTTGCTGTCTTGATTATGGTAGGCTTTCTAGCTTTGAAATTGTGAAATGTCAATCCTCCACCTTTGTTCTTCTCTTTCAGTATTGTTTCTTTATTCTGAGTCAATTGACATTTACTATGAATGTTAGAATCTGCTGCTCAGTTTCTGCAAAGAAGTTAGCTAGGATTTTGGTAGAGATTGCATCAAATCTGTGGATCAGTTTGGGAAGAATTGCCCTCTTAACAATATTAAGTCGGCCAAATCGTGAATATGGAATGTCTTTCCATTTATTTAGGTCTTTTTTAACTTAACAATGTAGTTTTCAGAGTATATATTTTGCACTTTTTTGGTTAAGTTTGTTCCTAAGAATTTAGTTCTTTCTGATGCTATTGTAAATGGAATTGTTTTCCTTAATTTCATTTTTTAATTTTCTCACTTCTGCTATATAGAAATACAATTGGTTTTGCATATTGATCTTGTATACTGCAACCTTACTGAACTTATTTATTGGTTCTAATAATTTTTAATAGATTCCTTAGGATTTTCTCCATAGAAGATCACATCACCTACAAGATAGTTTTTCCTTCTTTACTTTCCAATCTGAATGCTTTTTATTTTTTTCTTGCCTAATTCTCCTGGGTAGAACTTACAGTGTTGAATAAAAGTAGCAAATGCAAATGTTCTTATCTTTTCCTGACACTCAGGGGAAAGTATTCAATCTTTCACCACTAAACATCATGTTAGTTGTCAGGTTTTTTGTAGATAACCTTTATTAGGTTGAGGAAGATCCCTTTTATTCCTAGCTTTTTGTTTTTGCTTTTAGGGCTCTTTTTTTTTTTTTTTTTTATCATGAAGCAATGTTATTTTTTATCAAATATCTTCACCCTATATTGGATGATCATATGGTGTTTGTTTTTTATGCTATCAATATAGGAGGAATACATTAACTGATTTCCAAATGTTAAACCAATTTTGCATCCCTGGGATAAATCCCACCTGATCATAGTGTATAATTTCTGTATTGCTGGATTTTATTTGCTAGTATTTTGTTCAGAATCTTTGTGGTTCTATTTATGAGAGATTTGGGTCTGTATTTTTTTCGAGGAGAGTGTCTGGTTTTAGTATCAAGATAATATTAACCACATAAATAAGTTAAGAAATGTTATCACTCTGCTTCCATTTTTTGGAAGAGTTCTTGATAAATTGTTAATAATTCTTTAAATGTTTGGTAGGTTCACCAGTGAATCCTATCTGGTGAAGCTATCTGGTCCTAGGCTTTTCTTTGTGGGAAGTTTTAAATTACTAATTCAATCTCTGTATTTGTTACATGTTTCTTAAAATTGTCTATTTATTCTTGAGTCAATTTGGGCATTTTGTGTCTTTCTAAGAATTTTTTAATTTTATCTAAGTTATCTAATTTATTGCCATGCACCTGTTCATAACATTCCCTTATGATCCTTTTTATTTCTTTTCTTTTTTAAATTTTGTAATATGTTTTATTAAATATAAAAATGTTCAAATTCTTAACATGGAAAAGAATTTTCAAGATCACCATACAAATCACAAACTGGAGAAAATGCTGAATCAAATATCAATAAAGTGTTAATAATCTTTCAAAGGACCCACAAAATCACTGAGAAAAATACTGAGGCCTAGAGATAACAGACCATCTATCATTGCCTATTACCTACCAAATACGATAGATAAGTCGTGTTTTGTTTTGTTATGTCAGTACAGCGCATATATATATATATATATATATATATATATATACACACACACATATATCTCTTAACTTCTGGGGTACATGTGCAGATCTTGCAGGATTGCTACATAGGTATACACATGCCATGGTGGTTTGCTGCCTCCATCCCCCACATCACCCACATTAGGCACTTCTCAGAGAAGTGCCTTTTTATTTCTTTAAGTTCACTAGTAATGTGAGGACATGGTTTTAATTGCCTACTTCGAGAGCACAATGTATTTAAAGTCTCATACTTTTTTGTTTAAAAAGTCATAGAATATATCTATTTTAATACAAAAATAATATTTAACATTATTGAACATTAAGCAAAATTGAAGTGCCAGGGAGAGTTCCCATATTTACATCCTTGTTTTACCACCCCATCCTCCAGCAAGGTCTGGATCCCCCTATGTGAGATGCATCATGACAGGATAGATTCTCTTCAATCAGGGTTTCCTAGCTCTTTCCAGGACAGCTTCTCTGTCCCTAACTCTGCAAAGATCCTGTGTTGAATTACCAGGGCTCCACAGTAGACTCATAAACTGGAGAAACAGGACCAAAGAGCTAACGGGTTTCATTGTCTAGATTGATGAACTCACAAAACATTTATCTGCTCTCATAAGAGGTGGGGAAAGGCTACGCTGTTAGTGGGTGTATATGTGTGTGGAGTGTATCTGTGTCCTATGATGGAGGTGGCAGTGCAGGAACACCTGTAACTGTCATCTCCTTTCATCTCTGGAATAACAACAGCAAAAACTAAGGGATCCAAGTGAAGTATTTTCCTTTGAATAAACACCAGAAAGGAACATTTCTAACAGAGCTACGTTTCAGATTATTGACTTTAATGCAGGTCTTGTTTCTTTCAACTTCAGCAAATGAGGTCATAGCCAATATTCAGATATTCCCTGTAGAAAAAAACAAAGAAAAGAAAAACCCAACATTGAACTGTGTTTTAGAATAATCTGGTTAACTTTAGCCTGGATGGTTAAGTGTCATTCACATAAACCTGATATAGAAGTGACATTTAATGGATACATTAGCTGTAACATTTCCTTCAAATCCTTAAAATTAAACATTCAAATTAATCACTCAACTTCAGTTCCTAGTAAAGATATTCATAATTAATGTGCGTTAAATTCATCGTAATAAAAATATATTCAATTTTCTCTCTTTATTTTTCTTAGAAAAACTGTTCTTGAAAACCACCTGCTATTTAATCATTGACAAGTTTGGATCAGATATCATAAAACTGTGAGTATGCCGTGGCACATAACTGATTCCATTGCCGGGGCATGGGAGGAACCAGAAAACTGGGAGGCAGGAGGCTCTGTGTTCGGCTTGCTGCGCTTACTGGACAGGGCTCGAGCTGTTATTCCAGCTCTTGGTAATAGTGGACAACTGGAACCTGATTTGGATCCTTTGTCACTCTACGCAAAGGCTCCCCTTGAATTACAGTAGGGCAACCTGGCTCAACTTCTCTCCAAGAGCCTTTCAGATGGAATTTCACAAACAATTCCAGCACCAAAACGGCCCTATCCTATTGGCTGAACTTGGGCGATTGACGCTTTCTCCTGAGCTCTCCGCCTCCCTGGATTCCCAGGCCACCTCCTCTCTCCCCACTTAGCTGGTTTCCTGGCTTTTCTCCACCTCCCCACTCCCAGCCCTTGCTCCTTGCATCATCACGGTCTGCCTTTTCGTTTACTGTTGTTGTTTTTTTTGAGCTGAGGGCACTGAATCAAAAAGCCCTATTCCTCAGTTCATGGCACTCTCTCATCATTGATCCATACATGGCTGTCTTACACTTATTATTTTTTTACTTAGTTACCTTGAATACTGAAATAAGCTCCAGAATCCGCCACCCAAAACATGGTCTAGGACCTTGACATTAATGTCTTCTGTCCCTATGGACTCTCCCCTTTATTCTCAGGCTTTTCCCACCCCAGTGAGAATCATCCTAAATTCCATGTTCATTCTTCTCCTGCTTTCTATAAAAAATTGTAGAGGTTTTCCATAGTTTTATAATGTATAAAATATAAAAATATAACGTATTTATTATCATCATAATACATATTATTATAAACATTTTATAATTTCTTATACATAAATTACATATGTTTGATTGTGTTCTGGTTTTAACTCTTGTGAACAGTGCTCCTAGGAACATTCTTTTTTTTAAAAAAAAACTTTAAGTTGTGAGATACATGTGCTGAACGTGCAGGTTTCTTACATAGGTATATATGTGCCATGGTGGTTTGCTGCACCTATCAACCCATCATCTAAGCCCCAAATGCATTAGGTATTTGTCCCAATGCTTTCCCTCACAGTTCCCCCTCACCCCCCAACAGGCCCCAGTGTGTGATATTCCCTTCCCTGTGTCCATGTGTTCTCATTGTTCAACTCCCACTTATGAGTGAGAACATGTGGTGTTTGGTTTTCTGTTCTTGTGTTAGTTTGCTGAGGATGACGGTGTCCAGTTTCATCCATGTCCCTGCAAAGGACATGAACTCATTCTTTTTTATGGCAGCATAGTATTCCCTGGTGTTTATGTGCCACATTTTCTTTATTCAGGCTATGATTGATGGGCACTTGAGTTGGTTCCTAGGAACATTCTTACATGATTCCTCCTCAATGGGCCGCTAGCCTTAGAGCAGAGATGTTCAAAGGACAGCATCGCCCTCTACAACAGGGTATCCTAGAGTCATCAAATTTTAAATACAGAAGAAAGTTAAAATCATACAGGCAGGGAGATCATCAGTGATCTGTCATGCTATGCACCGCCTCTCCTAATAGTGATCTCTCTGTGTTATGGCAAACAACTTTTCATAACCCCTGGGCTGTGTTTGGAAGGCAGGGACCCTTTATTCTTAGCTAGTGGCATTATTATTGCCACTCCCTCCTAACTGGACTCCAGGCCTACAAACGTGCCCATTGCTATGCAATTTCATAAGCTACATTATAGCTAGAGTAGTATGTTTTAATGCAAACCTAACTATAGTACTCCCTTAATGTAAAGATTTTCAAAGTCTTCACATCCTCTGCAGGACTCCTAGCTCCACACACAAGGCTCATCAGTAACTGATTTCTGAGGACATATCTAGACTCACCCCTTGCCACGCCATAGCACACCACACTCCAAACCACTTGTGGTCTCCCAACACAACAGGAGGTTTCTGACTCAGGATCTTTGTATGAGATGTTCACTCAGCTTGGCACGTCCAAAACCTCTACTCCTTACTTCTACCCCAAACAAATCTTATGGCTCCACTCCCACACATACAGGCAAACAGGCACATATACATACACACACACACAAACACGTGCACACACACAGACATGCACATACACATACACACACATGCATATAAGCACATGCACACTCTTACAGACATGTACATTCGCGAGCATGCACATTCTCCTAATACCCTGTGCAAACCCTTAGCATGGCACTTACCTCATCTGTTTGTGACTGAATTATCCATTTACTCTTCTAAGTTGATAACTAGATGAAAAATCTTTTGAGGGATAGATTTTTTGAGGACAACATTTTATTCATCTTTGTATCTATCTGCAGGTACTTAGCAAAATACTGACTATATGTTTATGAAAGTACAAAAGAAAGTAAGAAAAAGAGGTAAGAAGGGTTGGCAGAGGAAAGGAGAGAGTTTTGTATCTCCAGATCCAGGTGCAATTCTTAAGCATAAAAAGTCTGCAATAAGTGTTTGTTGAATTAATGAATTTTTTTAAAAAGTATGAATACAGATGAGCCATGACTAGACTGCTCTGAAGAAAGCTATTTAAAAGTCTAAAGACAGAAAGAAAAAATCCCTTTTAGTCTATTCGGTGAATCTATTTATACACCTAATAGGAGCCTAGATCCGGAAATCAGACCAGCAAGCTGGACTCCCAGAACTCAAAGGGGCAGTACATGCAAGTGTCCAAAAGGGGGTGCCAGAGAGCAGCTCCCAAGAGCAGTGTGGTGGGAGTTATAGAGAAGTGGCCTGGGGTAATTGAGACATGGCTTCCTCTTCTGTAGAGGGGTGAGTGTGAGAATCAGTGAAGCATAAGGATCAGAGAAAGGACAGACACAGTACTCATCACTGCAGATGCAAACTGTACAGCATGTGAACTATACAAGAGATAAGCGGGCATAGATGTAGAGAAGAAATGGGACCAGCAAGTCTCCAAAAGAGGGACCCACTCCTGAACATGTGGTGGGGATGGGAGGAATCACATTTTTCTTTTTAATAAAGAAACTAATTCTCTCTAGAATGAGGTGGGCCACTTTGAAGAACGACAGATATAATAAATGAACAAACGACAGCTGTCTGATCCCCCCTTCGTGGTTCTGTCTACCACGTGTTTTGTCCATAATTTCCCACTATGTTTATTAGTTGTGAGCTGATAGAAATTTTTCCTCATTGGACATGTTCTGCATACAGCTTGTTTTAAGCCATCAGACACAGCTTGAGATTGATGTAGACCCTGAAAATGACAATCTCATGATTTAGTTTTACTTGAATATCAGTCTTTCAATATTAAATGTATTTTCTAACCCAAAGGGCATCCTTTCTCATTATTTCACACCACTCAGTTCTCAATAATTCATGGACTAATTATGTAGCAATTACATTTCCTTCCCATAGGCAGAGCCACAAGATGTTAAAAAAAGGGGGGCACCCGAGAACTCAGGGGTACCCCCAAGAACCTGAGTCATGCAGGGAGGAGCTACTTCATGGGGAAACCCAATCCCAGTCAGTGACCACGGCTGGGTCCCCCTCTGTGTGGCCCAAACTGCCACTGCTCTCTCCATTGCTGTAGCAAGCCTGACTCTGGTCTCTGTCTGGCTGTGTTCCTTCCTGGTATCTATTTATGCTTCCCTCTAAATCACAAATTCTTGTGTCCTAAGCCCAGGAGCTCTCGGAGATCAGTACAGGCATAAACTACTAACAGTTTTATAAAAAAAAAAAAAAAAAGCAAAAGAGAATTGATAACAATTATGGTATACCTTAAATGTAATTAATGGCTTTGAGAGAGGCATTAAAAACACAGGGCAGAGCCGCTGCACTCTGTAGCTCATCCTGTAATCTCAGCACTTTGGGGAAGCTGAGGCAGGTGGATCACTTGAGATCATGAGTTCAAGACCAGCCTAACCAACACAGTGAAACCCCATCATTACTAAAAATATAAAAATTAGCCAAGGGTGGTAGTGTGCGCCTGTAATCCCAGCTACTTGGGAGGCTGAGGAAGAAGAATCGCTTGAATCCCAGAGGTGGAGGTTGTAATGAGCCAAGATCATGTCTCTGCACTCCAGGCTGGGCAACAGAGTGAAACTCCATTTCAAACAACAAAAAAACAAAAAACAGGGCAATATAATTCTGTTATTCACAAGATAATTACAAGATTTATAGGAATGATTAAATTCATAGTACACTACAAAAGATGTGACCTAGAAACAGGATAAAAGTATTAAGTTATATGAAGAAGATCTTTCAGTTCTGTTGGGGGAATCTCTGTGACTACAATTTATATATAAAACCTTTTTTGAAAGTAATGTCAAACGTCTAAATACGAACACTTTCAAGTCAAAAAGTCTCTATTCCCCTATCCCTGCCATAGGCTCTGTTGCTCTGCCGCCTGGTCATCCTTGCTCCCCTCTTTAGATTTATGATAATAATGATGGTCATCATCATCAGATGTAATTCTACCATGATTCTAATTCAAACTCTCAATTAGCTGGCTATGCCAAAGTGTTGAAGCCCTCCCCTTCCTGCATGCTGCACTCCTATGCACTTCTGTACTTTTAAAGATAGTAAAAGGAAGTAAATTAAAATGTGATAGATTCAACATTATGAAGTTTGAAAGTCACCACTTTGTTCTAACAGCAGGTAAAAAGCTGAACAAACTGAAAAACCAACAACACTTCCTAGATCTTTAAGAGAAGTAAGCTCAGAGCTGGGCATGGTGGCTCATACCTGTAATGCCAACACTTTAGGCCACCAAGGTGGGTGGATCTCTTGAGGCCAGGAGTTTAAGGCCACCCTGGCCAACATAGTGAAAACCCATCTCTACTAAAAATACAAAAATTAGCTGAAGGTGGTGGTGCACCTCTGAAATCCCAGCTACTCTAGAAGCTGAGGCATGAGAATCTCTTAAACCCAGGAGGCAAAGCCTGGATGACAGAGTGAGACTCTGTCTCCAAAAAACAACAACAAAAAAAGAGAAGTAAGATTATTGGGCAAGAACTGGGGAGA